TCGTTAACACTGAACCGGTTGTGGAGAACTATAGGCAATTTTTGATGCAGCCTCCCGAAACTGAGCTGTTAGTCACAGTGAGGACGCATCAACTCTGCATACCCATATACGATATGGATATTGAAGAGGAAGATGACGGAAACATTAACGCCGAGGAGGTGAATTCAACTCAAATTGGGTTTGAGTCCCGAGATTGGCGTTTTCCCACCATTGACTACGTCCAGTATGGTATTTTGCCAGAGGATGTAAAAGAAAGGGAATCAATACGCCGAAGAGCACCAAGATTCTTCTATAATACCGAGACCCATACGTTATACCGTAGAGGGTACGATGGTTTGTTACTCCGATGCCTTTCGAACAAAGAAGCAGAAGAAGTTCTTAAGGAAGCACACGGAGGAGAATGTGGTGCACATCAGCTTGTACCCAAACTGTATGATCACATCAGGAGAATGGGATATTTTTGTGATGCAATCGAATACGCACGAGAATGCCACGCTTGTCAAATACATGCAAATTATATGCATCAACCACCAGAGCAGTTACACACGTCAACCACGTCTTGGATGTTTGAGACATGGGGTATGGATATTGTTGGTCCTATTTTTCCCCCTTCAGTCAAAGGTGATCGATTCATTCTCGCAATCACGGATTACTTTTCAAAGTGGGCTGAAGCGATTTCGCTTAGAGAAGTGTGTAGGCACTCGGCACAAACCGACGAGCCAACGAGGCGACGAGATCGACGAATCGCACGGAAGCGACGGAATGAATCCACCCGCGTGCAGAATCAAGCTAATGAGTTGAGGAATCAACGAGTCATCCAACCGAGAGCGGACTCGGACGAATCACGATCGAATCAAGATCAATTTCGGACTCGAACTCAGAAGCGGATTTACTGCCAAATCAGGAATCCAACTTACTGCCAAATCAGATCATCAAATCAGAGTCTCAGGTCAACCGAAACACGGACAAACGAGACAACGGAAAACGACTCAAAAAAGTCGGAAAACACCGCCCGCGGGGGCTCGGCCAAAGCCGAGCCACCCCAAGGTGGCTCGGCCTTAGCCGAGCCACCTTGAGGTGGCTCGGTGGCCATATTTATTAGATATCTCTTTCTACATCATGTCTAATGTATTTATTTCTCGTATTTTGCCTGTTTTGTACCTACACTTATTGTTGATTCCACTAGAGAGATATTACTATGATGGTGAAACGTGTTGTTACACAGTGTGGGTGCATAATATGTTTGATATTTCTGGGTTCAACTTGGACTGCAGCCATGTGTGAAAACAGGGACATCACAAGTGGAGAAAGCTTCTTCGAGATTAGCAATGTGGAAGTTGACATGCTTGGATGTCACTAGGATGTTGTCCACATATGCTTCCACATTGCAGCTAGTTTGCTCTTTGAAGATCTTGTTGATCAGTCTCAGGTAGATTGCTCTTGCATTTTTGAGGCCGCTGGTCCGTTATGAAGGAAGTTTTTTTTTCATCATGCTTTACCATATTTATTTGGTTGTAACATGAGAAAGCATCTATGAAGCTGAGAATTTCATAGTTTGAGTTGAATCGACTAGTCGATCGATTCAATGGAGGGGAAAAATATCTTTTTGGTAAGATTTGTTGAGGTTGATAATGTTGACACACATCCTCCACTTGCCATTGGTCTTTTTGACTAGCACTATATTGGTCAGCTATTCTGGATATTGGACCTCCTGGATGTATCATGCCTTTAGTAATCAGTCAAATTCTTCTGCTGTTATTTTTTTCTAATCCGATATATATCTTCTGTCAGACCTGTATGCAGTGTCGGTCGATACATAGCTCATGAGCTATTACTTTTGGGGCTATACCCGACATGTCTTCGGGTCCTCAGGCAAAAACGACTACTTTTGCGCGGAGGAACTCGATCGCTCCTAGCGGTGGTTTGGCCAGTTCTAAGCTTGTTTGAACTTTCTTAGTTTCATCGATGCTGAGTAGAAATTCTTTCAAATTTTCCATAGTGATTGTTCACTCCTTATCTTTGTCCTTCTGTAGGTGGGCCTGAGACTTCTCAATTGGCGAGGTGTCTGGGATTCCCTTGCCTTGCCTTTCATGGAGAGCATGTCGCACGACCTGGCCTCGCACTGCTTACTCCACGCAATACTGACTCTTAGGTTTAGGAACTTCACCATTTGATGGTAGGTGTAAGGGGTTGCTTAGAGATCATTTATGGAGGTTCTCCCAAGTATAACACTAGAGGCTGACTTGACGTCCATCACAATAAACTGGACTCAGATCGTAGATTAGCGGGAATAATCACCAACGACCATTGGTACTGGTAGGGCAATCAACCCTTTCGATTGAATTGAATGACTCGAGAAGCCTATTGGATGACTCGGAGATGGCTGTAGTTTTAATCTGTCGATTTTTATTTGGTTGAATGCGTCCGAGAATAGGACATCAGCGGAGCTTCCTATGTCCACCATAATCCTCTACTCGGAACCCGTTGAATTGGGTAGAGGTGATGATAGGATCATAAGGTGTCATTACACCTTCCATATCGGCGATGGGGAAGGTTATGGATTGATTCACATTAGGCTTGTTCTCGTACAACTGTACAAGTTCACCTGACGCAGACGTAGAAACGGGGAGGCCGATCGGATATCGTTCCGATGCCAACGAGCCCTGACAATAGTAGGTAATTCACGAGCTTGAATCAACAAGCTCTAAGTTTCTCAAATTTGAGAACGAAAACAAGGAGAAAAATCCTCTTGATTGAATAATGAAAAGTTAATTGTTTGATTTACAAAAGAAACTATTATATAAAGCCGAATAAATCTATCCTAACTCTAATAAAAAAGAAACTCTAATTCTAAAAGGAAATAACCAAAAATGAACTCCTTTCCTAATCTGTTTTCCAAGTCGACACGAGGCGTGCCGAGTAGTACCGCCTTTCGTGTTAACTGGACATGAGTCGACTAAGTATGTCGAGTGGTTCCGCCTTTCGTGTCGCCTGTCATCTCGTCCTGTCGCCTGTCATCTCGTCCTGTCGCCTCGAGTCGTCTGTTCGTCTGGGTTGCTTCGCCTCGAGTCGTCATCTCGTCTCGCCTGGTTTGTTGTCGTCTCGTCTAGTTCGAGTCGAGTCGAGTCTCGTCTCGTCCATCTGTTTAGTCGTCTCGCGCTTTTCAGTCATCTCGTCTTGTAGATCTCTTGTATCATCACCTCAAGGGTTCACCGAGCATAATATTCCGAGCTTTGTTTGACATCCCTCTAGTTGCTGGGCCACCGTTGATGGTGTTGATGGTGCCCCTGTCATTGCCTTCGGTTTCTCTTTGCTAATTCGGGCGAGATGATCTCGACTCCTCCGCTTAGGCCTATCCCGGCTTGGCTCTTCGTTGTCCCAGCGAGATGAGTCCTTACACATAGTACAAGCGGAAAAGTAGGTAAATTGATACTTTAGATGGGAATGTAGGAATTCAACAGTATTTTAAGGAGGAATTAGTCATTTTGTCCAATTCTTTTATGCTACAAAGATTCTAGGAATTCAGATTTTATTAAAGTTTAGATAGTACCTCTTGGATTCATATATTATTTTTTACATATTTGTTGGATATCCCTGCAAATTTAAGTATGAGTAAGTGGCATGTAAATAGTAGTTATTTCTATATATACAGGAACATTGGAGATATTGGATGAGAGATGAGAGAACATAAAATGCATTAAGATTAGTGTTGGGTAGAACATTCATAGAAGTTAGGGAAAAACTTGACTTTCTGGTTTAAAAAAAAAAGTGCAATGGAGAATGGCATTGAAAGAGAGAATTTTTTTTGACGTTATCACTAGCAAATACGGGAGATTTTGTTACAACAGGCTAAATAAAATCATATTTTAAGGAACACTGCCAACTCTATATGTAGAAGGCAGCAGGCATCATAAAGAGACAATGAAACATTGGTAGCAGAAGTCAGTGGACGAGACCAATCAATCAAGCTGGAAAATTAGATCAAGTTATATAGGTACGTCGTAGTTCTGAACGGGGAACATTCTGAAGATGTAGGAACGGTTCTGAAGTAAATGTCTAATTAACTGATGATGAATTAGGTCAGATTTGCATGTAGTTTCGACTGGAGTTTGAATTTATATCCACATGCTTGAGGAAACATTATGGCAACCCATTGGACCTATGACAAACTATTAGAATCAATCTGCCAGTTAGATACGTTAGGGTCATAGAGTCAGCACAGAAGAGTTCTCAAATATCAATGAAATGTATAATGTATGCATACCAGTGACTTTTTTCTGGAATGAGTACGCATGAAGAAGAGTCAAAGAAAAGTATCATAAGCACTTATGCTCTCATAAATTTAGTGGAGCATCCAATCTTATATACATCAATTCCCAAGAAAGGGTAAACTTTATTTCACGTTGTCAAACAAGTGACTATCTTCATCCCAACAAACTAGTAATGCTAAAATAGTCACAAAAGCATTTTAAAAAAAAGTAAAAGGGAAACAAGGAATGATCATTCTCACATATAAAAAGAAAATATGTAAAAAAAATTACTTGGTTATAAAAGTTACAGGTTAGAATAAATAGGAAAAGCAGTAACAACCTGTCCACGAAATAAGAGTTATATATTCAAATGATGAAGTTAATAACCATGGCCATAATATTATTCTTTACATGAGTGTAGTGTCATATCAGATTAATCTTAAGAAATCAGAGGCTTGCAATATATGCCTTCACTAATTCACATGAAGAAAGAATGGTGGAATGTTTATTTAAGAAAGTAGATGCTATGTGAAAAAAGTTCTACTGTTAAGAAATTTTACCTTGCAAAATTGTCAGAAATTCGTTAAAAATGAATCTGATTGAAATTTCCTAACAGAAGAAACTAGTGTTTCCAAAGTTCTACCACACGAAGATTCCAAAGTGGACCCGAACTGAACAAAGATGGAAGATCAGAAACTGCTTTTCGACGATGAAAATCCTTGTTAGGTCGCTATGCCACTTTTATACAGGTAGTAAATTTGAAATTTTAATGAGATATCTAATACAAGCTTAGAACATTATTGTGATTCCGTGATCTATGTTTCTTATTTTTATTAAAAAAACATCGGGCTATACTGCTATTTACCAGGAATTATATTTTGCATTTAATTTGGATGTGAAGGACCCAACTTGACCAGATGGTATGATTTTGTAGGACTCAATGGCATTCTGATAAAATGCTTGACCTGGATCAGGAGTCCTTGATGTCATTAGATCCTGGAAAAATCTATATATTTCAAGCACCTCATGGAAAGACTAAAAAGCCAAAGGTACAAAAACTATTACTAAGCATTTATTCAAATATATGAAGCCCTAATGTTCATCAATTGTAGCAATAAGTTCAGTCAACTCTCAAGTATCAGCATCAGTGCTTCCCATTTAATATAAAAATGTCATTGGGCATTTTGTGTTTTTGGTCACATTTCTTTGATCAACTACGTGGGCATGTACTTGTCTATCTGTGTGCACATTAAACTGCTACATTTTGTAGGTGTGACCATACTATATGAGTCTTTTGCGATTTGCTGTATGTACTATGTATTTATCTTTGTTATGATGTATCTGCAGATTTCTTAGTGCTACATACCCCGTAACGTCATATACTTAAGTTAGAAGACCTGTTCTTCAGTTCTGCTGAACATAGTCAATTTGTTACTAACATATATATTCTAACATCTCCAAGATTCTTGATTAGAAAACTGTTTAATTCCGTGTTATTATTTCTAGTTTTAAGCCGGCCAAGGTGGCTATGACTTCAGATCTTCCATTGGGATCAGGTCTAGGATCATCTGCTTCTTTTTGTGTCGCAATTGCAGCAGCTCTTCTTGCACTTTCTGATCCCATTGAGAGTATCACATTAGGGGAGAATGAACTAAAGCTCGTGAATGAATGGGTGTTCGAGGGTGAAAAAATTATTCATGGCAAGCCTTCTGGTATTGATAACACAGTGAGCTCATTTGGTATGTAATTTGATTTAGCATTCTCATGTACACGGTTTTCTTATTCACTGAAAACTCATCCTTCTGCAAGTGTTATGTGGGAAGGACTACATAATGCATTATTTGCACACTTCTTTAAGGTTTTGCGCATTAATACTGGTATAAGTAATTTCATCTTCTTGCTCAATTAGAAGCAAAACTATAATTAGTATCTGTACTTAAAAACTTGAAAATGGAAAAACTTGTCTTTATCTGAATAAAAGGCTCTGGTCCTTTCTGCCATACATATATTCATGCACTTTACTATATGCACCTCCAAATTATGGTTATTGCATGCATTCTATCCTTACAATTTGTTTTCTATCTTATTTTTGCACACTTCGTGTCTGTTATAACCTTTTTCCCCCCTTTTCCTGTTGGTGTTACTCTTTGGCAATTATGTTATGTGTGCATGTCAAGGTGATCTCTGTACAAGCTCTGTCCATTCTGCATATCATACCCATTGCTGATGAATATAGTTTTATAATATCAATGCTTCGCCTCCAAATGATGAGTTCCATATGATACTAAAGCTTAAATTTATGAATGTATTCAGCATATGTTGTCTAATAAAACTCACACGTACATGTGCTCGTGGGTGCACACACAAGCACAGGCGGACGTGCATGCACGGGCACGCACGCACGCCACACACACATCTCGAGGTAGTTAGATGGCATAAGGATGCGATAAAATTTGCACTAGATTGGTTGGGTATTTGAGGTCTGAAGCAAAACTAGTTCCTCATATCTGACCCTAAATTCTTAATGCACCCCAGTATAGGCCAATTGTAAGAACTATTGATAACTCTTGAAAGTGAAGTTAATTATATTATTCCAAACTTCAAAATTGAAGTTAATTATATTATTCCAAACTTCAGTTTCAAATGAAGTTAGAATAATAGTTACCTCTCAGTTGGACAAAAACTGGCTGCTTAGTGGTCACTGCTGGGACCCTTTCCTTGTTTCAACAGTAAAATATTTGGATATTCATATTACATTTTGGTTATAGACCTTTCCATTCTGGGTATCCTCTACAATAAGTTGGACTTCTGCTGACACCAGCAATCTATCATCATCTATTTTCAGTTTCATAGCTAGTTACCCAAGACATCATTTGCTTGCTTTGGATTGGTTCTCTTATTCTACCTTACGAAGTTACATGCTGTAAAGTTTGGGGACACCTCTCTGTTTCTCAGCTCTGGAATTATATTTGCCTGGAATTCTCATTTTCCAGTTTACATTTTTTTTCATGGATGTTGTTAAGATCTGATCATGATGGATTTATTGCAGTAGGAAGCATGACCATGTTCAAATCTGGTGAGTTGGCACACATGAAACCTACCACACCTCTGAAAATGCTCATAACCAATACAAAAGTGGGGAGAAACACAAAAGCACTGGTTGGTGGTGTATCTGAAAGAGCTTCACGGTATCCAGATGCTATGTCATCTGTGTTTACTGCTGTTGATTCTATTAGCAAGGAGATGTCTACCATTATTCAGTCACCCGCTCCAGATGACATCTCTGTTACTGCAAAGGATGAGAAGATAGAAGAGCTGATGGAGATGAATCAAGGTGTACTGCAATGCATGGGAGTGAACCATGCCTCCAGCAAGGTGCTCCAAACAACTCTAAAGGTATAAATTGGCATCCAAGTTGACCGAGGCTGGTGGTGGAGGCTGTCTTCTGACTTTGCTACCTATATGTATCCTTTTCTGACAGTTTTCTCTACCCGATTATTTATTCTGCGATTACGTATACAAGGTTTCTCTAAATTTCTATCTTTCTCAAAGCCATCAAGCCCTATATTTTCCCTTTAACATAAAATCTTTATGAAAGAAAAGAATCATGAATACCAGGATCCTCCGATAGATGAGCATTATCTTTTAACTAACACAATAAATAAGAAAGTCATCTTTCCCTGTCATTCTGGAGAATCATGCTTGAAGTGACTTCTTGAATTATCAGTTATAGGATACAATTTGATTTTTTCACCACTAATTTAGCTAGAAACCTGTTTATATTTCTGATATCAGCAGAAGACTTTTTCTGTCACCCACCCCAAGTTATCAATGTAGCCTATAGAACTGCATAATGTGATCCCTTCGGTCTTACCAAGCTCTCCCCATGTCAATTCTGTTTGCAACCTCTCTGGGAGATTCTTCTCTTGAATATTTGTTTAACGAAGATCATGCTACCTTTAAATGCTTTTTTCACATTCTTTAGCTTCATCTTGAGTTGGTTCCGCAATACTAGATCTCCCTTTCTCAACCACACACTTCCCAGTTTCTTATTCCATAAATATGAAAGACCATTGTTTTTGAACATTAGATAAGAGCCTCAAGACTTCCCCAATGTGTTCGGTGTAACAAGCATGGGAACAGTATAACTTGACCTAAGGAAATCATACTTAAGGAGAAAACATTGTTTTTACATCGATGAATCAGTAACTTTTCTGGGAGTTGTCTCCAGTGATATTGCTTTAACCCCCAAGTATCTGTCCATACGCCTCACCGGGCTATGCAGTTCTTTGCCACTAAAGGAACATAAGTTATTCATTGGTCATAGTAGTTCTAGTTCGTGAGAATGTGTTAGTTTATCTTCCGAGAAGGCACCATTGTAAATCATTATGATCAAACTTGCTTGTTATAACTGGATGATAGTTTATTATTAAAATAGATAAACGGTGAACATTATTTTCTCTGTATTACGGAGTTAATGAAGCTTTTTTAAAGTCATGGAGCAGAAGCCCGTAAAGCTGACTACTAAGTTAACATTTTATCTTGTAAGAAGATGGTGATAAATCGGGAGAATTTAAATAAGATTATGACAAGCTCGAAGAAATTTATTAGCCTTTGGGAGTTTTTGTCATTGGAAATGCCTTATAATTCAATATACCTGGCATTAAAGGAGGATAGATTTAAAGTAAGTCTTACTAAAATGCAGTTTATAAAATTAAAATTGGAAGAAAATCTTAGTTGTATGCAGTTTGCTTGTGGTGGGTAAAGAATGAGGTGAAAGAGTAATTGCTGGAAACTGTTCTTGTTTGCATCTGATAATAATTGGTGTAAAGCGAACGGCATATTCAAGAGCAAAAAAGATGTTATGCTACCCTGGGGAAAATGTCACCTTATTAAAAAGAAAAATGTATGACATTGATACAAAATAGATTATTGCAACTATATAACTGCCACTCACAGGAATTATGTAATAACAGGGATCCTGGTACCCTGTCAACCTAAGTAGTGGACCAAAGGAAAAGAACAAAATAAATCCTTCTATCCCAAAATTTGGGGTCGGTTACATGAATCCTACTATTCCACTCGGTTCTGTTGAGACTTATATCCTCCGCTAATTTAATCATTATTGTAATCATTACTATATTTTCCTTACTTCTCCTAATCAAGTTCTCACATGCCTACCTCTAGTCCTCCTTACTCCATTAATTATATTTTTTATCACTTATTCTATTTGTGCATTTAATAGTCTCCATTGCACTAGACTTAATTATCTCAAATGATTTTTCTCATTTTGTAGGTTCAATCTCTAACTTCCAACGAATGCGCTTATTTCTTATTGAAGAAATTACAGAAACTCAGAAGAATCAGGCAAACCAGGCAGCGGTTGACCGGTCCGGTCGACCGCATTCGTGCACAAAGCTTACTGTGCGACAGAAAGGTGGTCGGTCGACCGGGCCAGTCGACCGCAGGTGTTTCGGTCGACCGTGGAGTTTTGGGTTTTCTGCTGGGAGCTGGTCGGTCGACCGGTCGACCGGAATTGATCGCAGTCGACCGTGCCGGTCGACCGACGCTGTTTTGGGCTGGGCTTTCAGGTTTTCGACCCGGTTCGTTTTGTAAGTTCTATATATACCTAAACTTGTTTGTTTAGGAGATAGGTTGGACGAATTTGAGCAGCCAAAAAGAGAGAATCATTGCATCCAATTGTGAGAGAGCTTTGAGAGATCTAGAGCTTTGTTTTAGGGTTTGGTCTGAGAGATTTGTAACCCTATTTGTATTCCCTTGATTTCTAGTAGTAAAATCTCCCCCCTCCTTGCCCCGTGGACGTAGGCAACTTGCCGAACCACGTAAATTGTGTGTTCTTGCTGTGATTATGGTTTGCATATTGTTTGTGGTTTAGTTCGAGTTATTATTCGTGTTGCCATAGAAAGCTTCCGCCGCGCACAACAATTGGTATCAGAGCTAGATCGACAACATGGGAGATGCAAGCACG